GGGTTAAATGTGTTTATTTAAGCAATAGTTTGACATTTCGCTAAATGTTCTCCGCCGCTGCCTCACCAAGAGTTAGATGAGAAGATTGGTACCGCTCTCGTATCTGTCCATTAAATATGAACTCGTACAAGGGGGGCAGTTAACAGCATAAAGACAAGAAGCAGGGGGGAGAAACAATTAGCCTGGGTTTCCTTCAAAATAGTCTACCAGCACCTCTAAAGCTCACTAATGACCACATTATAGCATATCTCATTTATTTAATCCAGTTAACACCCTGACTGTAAAAGCACTTTGTGGCTTCACAGGGATTATATGCCGGATTGTTTCTTGGCGGTGAATTCCTTCTAACCTCGATGTGACAGCAAGACTCCAGAAAGTCACCACGAACGCTGTCGTCTTTACATTTGAGTGTGCATGCATACAGGAAATCTTAAAGGGTTAGAGATGCCGGTTTGCATATTTAAAGTAAGCGAACCATGCGGCTTCAAGATGCCAAAGTTTCCTCCTCGTATGTGGTCAAACTATTCTGCCAAAGAACTGTAACCACGCCATTGATTCATCGCATTTTATAGACGAGGAATGAAACCGTCCGAGTGCATAATCTATGAACGGCAAGTTTCTAAAACTTAAGACATTTTACTTCTTTCTAACACATCCGCAGTAAAGGTAATGCCGGCCAATATATCCAGCGAACTGATTTATAGGTTGGGTTCTCAGCAGCTCTTAACCATCACATGTTATAAGTATAGTGATTTCCTCCCTGTGAAGCCGAAGAGAGATGCGGGGGGGAGATACAGCCTCCTTCACTTCCCAGGAAAAGACGGCCGACTGCGATAACATTTTATGGGGTGAATCCTTGCAGTCTATGATGTGCAGTCTTTTTTTTTTTTCCAGCAGATTTAGGGCAGAGTCTGAGTACGCTTCGGGCAAATGAGGTTCTTTCAATACATTAAAAAAAAAACTGAAAAACAACCAAAAAGCAGTGGGCTAGCAGACGAGAACCCTTCGCTGTCGACAGTTTGAGGAGCGCATCAGGAAAATTATTGAGAGTCTTGATTTCAAATGACAAGCATCAGAGTGGTGCTGAGAATTCACTTTGATGGTTATTTCCATGTTTTTGATCTCAGCCTCAGTTTTAATGAGAGGGCACGGAGGCATATTTGTTACCCGATGAAGCTTAGTGGAAAAACAGACAAAAAAAAACCTGAAGGTGAAGAGGTTTTTTTTTTTCTTTACAGATCCCCCACATGAGCATATACTTCAGAAGCATGATTTGTATATTTGGCTGCTTGTTTTTTTTTGTGTGTGTGTGTGTGTGTATATAACCGTGATGCTCTCCTGTATTTTTTATTTTTTTGCCCTCATCCTCTGTGCTGCTACTCAACCTATCCAACCTTTTTTTTTTTTTTCGTTTCTCCCGCTCTCCGCTTTCTTGTCTTCAGAACCCCTCTGATTGCGGCGGGGGTGATCGGCGGCCTTTTCATGGTGGTGATCATGGTGCTGAGCGTCGCCGTGTCCCTGCGCCGAAAGAACATTAAAAAGAAGAGGGCGCTCCGTCGCTTCCTGGAAACAGAGGTAAGCGCCGCAGAAGATGAAAAACAAGTCGAGTGAAGGGAGAAATTGCCGCCTGTTGCAATGAACCGTAGGGAGGAGTTTAATTTGAGGGAATTCAAATTTGACGTGTCCTAAGAAACCCAAACTTTTGAGATGGCCAAATCAGCTTTAGAGAATTTGAGGCATTCAAAATGTTAAAAAACACATCAATAATCAATAAAGCTGTGGCGGAATTATATTTGACTGGGTTTATATTTTACATAAAGCATGATAGAGGAAAACAAAACATAGGGGATGCCTGAGGCTGCTTGTCTGATTTGCATGATTACGCTGTTTGCTTGTGTCTGTATGTAATTGTAGTGTAGCTGTAAACTCAAAGGCCTTTAAAATAAGCCAGAGTGCAGAAGAGAGAAACCTGAACGAGGCGCCGTGTTTCCCACAGAAACGCAGAAAGTTTCAGAAACTCCGACGCTCAGGTGTTTACTTTACCGCAGTGTGCTGGAGAGGACTCTTGTTTTAGGAAGAGGGGAGGTACCATACCATTAGAAGGGGAGAAAGCACTCTTTTTTGTGTGTGTAAAATGAGAAGAGTACATCATCTAATGCACTTGTGAGTTCACAGTGAGAACAGGGTCTTGTTTCGCTGCTTTCTGTCTCTTCAGAGCGCACAAGTATCAGTGAAGTCTCTTAGCAAAATAGCAGTGATGCGGCCTGTCATTATACTTATAATATACTGTACTCTATCACATATGGGCCCACACTCATACTGGGGCTGTTTCTTAAGTACTTATATGAGTCTTTTTTCTTTATTTCATACATGAATCAGACACAGCTTCGGCTACATTAGTGTTCAATGTATTTCCGGTACGAAATTATACAGCAGCAGCTCCTTTAAAAACAGACGACGACGGCTGCTGCTGTCGTTTTCAAAGCTCTGATATGATGTACTGCAAAACTGGTGCATTTTCTTTCAAAAATTAACTTTAAGAAACTTTTTTTTTTTTTTTCCCCCTGAGCATTCGGAAGATGTCGGCAGAAGTTTACTTGATTTATGCATTTATGCAATCAATGCATAGACATCTTCTCAGAAGCAAATCATCCAAACCCGCGCTCACATGGCAATGATGCTCCGAAAGTAGTGACAAGTGTCAAGGTTATAAAAAGAAATGCAACGCAGGAGTGGAAATGGAAATGAAAGCCTGAGATTTAAGGACGAGGACTTCAAATAACTTCTTTTACTCCGACTGAAATCATACCGACTGTAAAAAAAAGAAAAGAGAGAGAGAGAGAGAGAAATCCTCTTTAATAGTTAATTTTTTTATTGAATTATGCATTTTATCTAATTACAGAGCAAATCCTGTATTGCAGGTCTGCTGATTGATAATCATTTGCTATAAAATTAACTCTGAAAACTAGTTAAGTTAAGGTGCTACACATCTCTTTCACATCCATCCTGTAGTGATTACTCAGAAACGTGTCCACGGGATGATCAGCTCCAGACTTCACAGCTGCACCGCCGTACTGTACGCCGGATCTGGAAATGATTCACACCCCTTTTTTTGTTATGTTGTAGGTGTAATTTCAAATGGATCTAACTGCTATTTTTGCTTCTCAATCTACATTAAACGCTCCATAATGAGCAACTGGAAACATGGAAAAAATTCGCAAATGTTATTAAAATACAAAAATCTCTCGTTTAAAACATTTTTTCCAGTGAGATTACTTCCTGAAGCCCTCCGTCTGTCTATCTACATCCCACCTCACCACAAAAACAGTCATCATGGCTTCAATCGGCGCATATTCGAGGCGGCGGATTGGCTTGTGCATCCCTCAATTAACCACCTTACCTTTCACAGTTGGGATTTTTCTCTTTTTAAGCACCAGTAAAAGGCACATTTCATCAATCTGTTGTCGGGAAACGTGTCTCATTTTGTAGTGCGGTAAAACAGCCGGCACATGATTTGTGTGACGACACAATGATTGGTTTGGTTTCAGCACCGCGCTGCAGAGTGAGAAGGTGGACAGCTACGCGATTGTGTACCGCGGCTGCTGCACGTCTTCAGCACCACGGATGCTGGACAGCTCCCAGCACAGCCAAATAACAGAGCTGTGTCTTTGTGTGTGTGTGTGTGTCATTTTAAAGACATCTGTATTGTCCGTTTGTGGTGCCCCGCCCTCCTCGTTTCTACCCTGCAGAAGCTGATTTGTTATTCCATTTAAATGAAGAATGGCTATTGTTTTTAATCAAGTGGTAACCATAAGCCAGAGGGACAGAAGCTGCCGACCACAGCCAGGCTGATTTACGCTCTCTCTTCTCCTCTCTGTGGCCTCCCTCCCCCTCTAATCTCCCACCCTTTTCTGTAATTCCCCTTATATTGCTCCCTCACTTATGCTTTTTGCATCCTCTGACTAATTCAGCGGCTCGCTTCTCCATCGCTGTCTTGTTGTTGGTTCTTCCCCTCTCTCCTCTCCTGCTCCACGCCTCCTTCCCCTCTCTCCTCCACGGATACGTAATCTCTCTACCCCTCTTACTATTTCATCTGTTCGTTCCTCCACTTGTGCCGTAATGAGACAACAAGTGTCAACTCCTGTTCAGCCTCTGCAATTATCCACCTCCCCTAATCTCTTCCCTCACGTTTCATCCACCCATCTCCATCTCCTGTTAAATGTCTCACTTTCACTGATTTTAAATCGCTAATGGCACTTCAGGGTTTGGATTAGTCATGCTGGGGGGGCAAAGAAGTCAGTGTACCCCTGCTGTCACCAGACGTAGTGGACAGTCAATGTAGAAGTGCATAAGACTATATATTTATATACGATCAACAGGTGTGCTATTAACTGCAACCATAATTAGTTGCTCTCCTTCTGTTTAGTCAGAGCTTCAGGTAACTGTCACGGGGGGCAATCGGGGAACCCAGGAGTAGACACAGATCAGGCTGACAGGCAGAAACAAAACTGAAAACTAAATACAAGGGTGTAGACTAAACAGAGTGGGAAACAGAACGAAACAAATAGACAGAATTCAAAAAAGGACAAAACTACAAAACCAGAGAAAACTCCTAAGAACGGAGGGGGAAACCTAACGGATTCTAAGTTACAAAAAAACAGGAAAACTCACACAAACAGGAATACTTACTAAGGAGGGAAAACAGAGGGGGCAGACAGGCTCAGGGAAATCCAGGGAGAGGCCAAGTGGAGACTGGCAGAAATGTGCAAATGTAATGTCTATGATCCGGCGGCTTGTGGTGGAATGAACCCAGTATTTATAGGAGCAGTGGTCATAGTGTGCAGGTGAGTCCGAAGTTGCAGCTGAGGGTGATTGTCCTGATTAGAGCCAAGATGCACAGGGGCAGAGAGGGAGAGGGACAGAGAGCGAGAGGCAGACAGGAGGGAGAAGAGGGAGAAAAAGAGTGAGACAGGCAAGGGCTGGGGGGTCATGACAGTAACTCGGCGGTAATTGTAGTTGTGTCATGATACAAGCCGAGCTTCGCAGCATGACTTCCTCGAAATGAGGTCACAGTTCTTTTAGAAGCAGCCTTTCTGGCCCATTATTAACAGTCTGTGTGAAAGGTGTTCTGTTAACTTAATTGTGGTATAAAAGGTGAAAACATGTCCTGGAAAAAGAGGGTTTTAAATGTACCCGGGCATGGAAGTGTTTTGTGTTGTCACGATTCCCCTCGAGCTAAATTGCACAACAATATGAGTAATGTTTGATATTTCAATGATCTGTTGGGGGCTGCAAGGTGGAGCGGTGGTTAGCACCGTCGCCTCGGAGCTAGAAGATCACCGGGATCTTTCTGCGTGGAGTTTGCATGTTCTCCCCGTGCAGCGTGGGTTCTCTCTGGGTTCTCCGACTCCCTCCCAAAAGCATGTTGAGGTTAACTGGTGATTCGAAATTGTCCGTAGGTGTGAATGTGAGTGGTTTTCTGTCTTTCTGTGTAGCCCTGTGATAGAGGGGGTCCCCTGCCTTCACCCCAAGTCAGCTGGGATGAGCTACAGTGAGAATTAAGCATAGATTGTATAAAAGATGGATGTACCTACCGTGACTTCACCCGTTGGTTTCTGCACTGAGAAAATGAAGCCAGGGTTTTGCTACTTCCTGGTTGACATCTTGGATTTTTGGAGCCAGTGACGCAAAAATCGTGGGAGAGGGGCGGAGCCACAAGAGCGATTGGTCAGATGGATTGAGAGGCGGGCCCTCTCTGCCCGCCCACATTTATTTAAAAAAATAATAATAATAATAATACATTTTATTTTTAGAGCGCTTTTCACAACCTCAAAGACGCTTTACATGTTAAAATAAAAACAAAACAAATAGAAAAAAAAGCAAATACAAGTATACAGAATAAGTCAAACTAAAGAAAACAGAACAAACAGTTGGAAAAGCAAAAGAAAATAAATAAAAAGAAAAAATGTACCGCCTTCTGCTCGCTTCGTCTGCATCGTCGCTGCCGACTGTCAATCAAGCCAGCCACGCCCCTTGCCCTGTAAAATGTTGACGATTTTTTAAAAATTCAGTATTGATTTATTTTCAGATTGGCCACCTGATCTCTGGATTAGACTATGAAAAATAACAAGAAAAATCCCTGAGCTGTAGGAATGCAGTATTTCATGATCTGTGATCACTTCTTTTCTAATTCCAGTCTATGGGAGCCAGCAGCTAGCGGATGTAGTGATGTTGCAGGTTTTTGACACTTCCGGGTTGGCTTCATTTTTCAGGGCTGGTTGCTACGTCCATCTTTTATACAGTCTATAGGATTAAGTGGTGTATAGATAACGGATGGATGGATGATCAGTTGGAATATTCACAAGCTAAATAACGACTTATTGGTGAAAAGTGCTATGATGACTTAGTATACAAAGAGGGATTCTCAAAAAAGAACTCATTTCCATGTTTGGAGCTTTTGTTATTGGATTTATGCTACGATGCTCATTGACTGAACATTCTGTGTTTTTTGGATTTGTTCTTTTTTAGCTGGTGGAGCCTCTAACACCCAGTGGAACGGCACCCAATCAAGCCCAGCTCCGCATCCTGAAAGAAACAGAACTCAAAAGAGTCAAGATCCTCGGCTCCGGGGCCTTCGGGACTGTTTACAAGGTAACACGCAAACAAAAACAAAACAACATGCGACCATTTGCGCATCACTCTCCTAGACAAACGTTGAGGACGTGATGTGAAATTGTCTTCGCGATCTCACATCACGGGAGGAAGACAAAAGAGACGGATTGCAGGATCATTAATGACAGGAAATGAGATGGAAGGCTGGAGGCGGGAGATGAAAAGAATAAGTAATAGCAGACATCGGGACCCCTGGGGTGACAGTGAAATAAGAGGTAGCTGAGGTCACCACCAGTGCGATGATGGGTTGGGGAGAGGCAGGCAAAAACACGGCCCAAATTAGAAAGAACAGACTCTCTCTCCCCGAAATTAGAATTGGTCATTTTGTGGCTCCATCCATTCACATTATGGCACATTTTTAGGTCAGAGGTATAGCAGCGTGAGCACATATGTCCTTTCACGAAGCAATATCTCGCACTCTCTGCTGGGGAATTTGAAAGCACCTCTGGACGTTTAGGAATAAATAGTCACTTTAGACTGTCGTGAGTGAGTCACGGGACCCTCACAGCTCCTGGGTGGCCGCGAGACATCCGAGTCAAACACTAGTGACACGCCGAGCTCTTTCCAGGCAGTCGGCAGAGAAATCTCATTCCGGCGGCTTTATCGTGTGATCTTATTATTTCAACTCGGAGTTTACGGTCAGTACACAGAACGCTTCATTCACAAGAGTTAGATAGACACTACAAGTAGCATTTACCCAGAAACTGGCCACTTCTCCTCTGAAGAAGGTTTAATCTTGTTTCAGATCTGGTGGTAGATGGTGAGATTTTCACTCATATAAATAAGGACAACATTTCTAAGGGAATACCATCTGAGGTGCAACATCAAGCAAGTTCATTTTGTCTGCTCTTGAATTAGTACTTGGGCTTCTTCTTTTCAGACAATAGAAATTTTAGAAGATGGTTCTTTACCTGACATGTTTCGACTGGAACTTCAGTCTTCCTCAGAGGCGTCAGCTGATCGCTGTGACGTGTCATTTATTTGGTGTTCCTTATGGGCGTGGCCAATCTGACAGATCTGTCAGATTGGCATCATGAACCGGGACAACACAAGAATCACAACATCAGAAAGCAATAAACATAAAAGGTTCATCAAGGAGGCCATCGAGATCAGAAGACGGGGAAGAACGACGATCAACCGGGATGAAGGCACCTTCATGCACCTGGGACTCTCTCCTGCAGGCACCGCCGGGCGGCGGGGGGCGTGGCCAATCTGACAGAACTGACAGATCTGTCAGATTGGCCACACCCATAAGGAACACCAAATAAATGACAGGTCACGGTGATCAGCTGACGCCTCTGAGGAAGACTGAAGTTCCAGTTGAAACATGTCAGGTAAAGAACCGTCTCTTAAAATTTCTGTTGTCTGAAAAGAAGAAACCCAGGTACTAATCTGAGGTGCAGTCTTCACTAACAGCAAGACCTGAAACGTGGCTTAAACTCTGAGGCGTCTAAATGCTCGCGACAACTTTGTCAGCTAGTAAATAAATGCACGACCCTCCGTACTGCGTGTGAATTCAAATCCAAGTCGCCGAGCTGAATAACAATCATCCGCAC